CAAGACTGGTTTGCGTAACTTGATGGCAGACGCGAACCAAATGTCTTCCAGTAGTTCAATAAGTCCTTGTAAATTAAATGAATGACTTCTTGGGGCCAAAATATGTGTGAGAGTCGCATTACGTGCGCTCCTATCTTCGCCTTTTCTCAGCCACCTCTCTGGTGAAACCTATTTCTGGCTTCCATGGGACAACAAAAACGGCTAGTTTTCGGCAAACCTGGATCAGTGTTGATTATTCAAATAATCAGTATATGCTCTTTCCAGAAATACTTTGATAACTAAAATTCTTAAAATGCGTTGTCAAAATGAGTTGGCATACACTGAAATAGCAAAAACCTGTCAGAAAGACAAAATGAACCGAACAATAAAAAAGTAACTAAGCAAAGCATCACTCAAGGAATTGTACCAATAGTGATATCGCGGGTAGGATGAAGGACGGCCTGTTGGACGTTGAGAAACTGGGAGACACTCTGATTTGCTCATCTCTCTGTTGTGAAAGAATTTGCTGTTTCCAACAGGACGTAACAAAATGTAAGTACCCGAAGGCCAACGTGGGAGTTTTAAAAGATATATTGAATTCAAATATGTAGACTGTAAGACGATTCACGTAGGAAACGTTTTCTGGGACGTAAGTACGTGGGAGCTTTTGTCAGGCATTTGCGAGATGGCGAATGGGAGCGTAACGAAATGCTCCTAACGTCAGCACTCGCGGCACGTAACAGAAAAACACAACAAAAAGGACTTCAAACAGTCACAACAGATCTCCCAGCCACGGGCACGCCCTCTTTATAAAACCTCAATAGTCGAACGCACAACACATTACCACGCAGCGTTCTGACGTTTGGACGTACCGTACCGAAAAAAGTACCTAGTAAAAAATAAATTTTGGCTAAAAATAGCTCCACAGACTTCATGAAATCCAAATTACGAATTGTAGTGGTCTAGCTGCAAGGCATAAATAATCCCAGCAAGCTTTGGAAGTTTAACTTTGTAATCCATTTAAAATTACAAATTCAACTGAAGAAAACAGAAGATTAATGCCTAAGCCGCAAATTACTGGAACTTCTAAACCCAAGACTAACCACAGTTAATCGTGTGCAGTGAACCACTTATGGTCGGTTGTTAGAAAAGAGCATACTAATCATCTGAGGAAACGGAAGTAAATCGTTTGTCTGAAGTTTTTGATGGAATCTGAACAACAAATGGTGGTAAAAAGACAAGTTCGCGTCTGTATTGGCTGCTCGTGATATAATAATCCCGCACCTCACGAATTTTCACTTTTTCGTCATCAAAAATAACTACTACCCTCTTTAATATCGACGCAAACTGTCTGAACCTGAAGTAGTAGTTTGCATTTAACCGAATAAAAAGAGGCAACGTTCTTTTATTCTAAACACCAAAAAATCCAAACTAGAACAGAATATCCAAGTTCGTGGTAATTTTGTAAGAAAACAGCAGGCACGATCACTGGATCGACTCGTTCGTCTGCACTGCTACAGACTGTTAATGTGATGTCTTTTGAAGCCCATTTTCCACATTTTTTCTGATACTTAGGTCTCCCGGCTTTCTAGTTCTGTAGATATGATAAATGGTTTCCTGGCTCTTGCCAACTACGCAATTATTATATATGGCTGGGGTAATTAAATTCCGATCACTGTTAACCTCTGAAAATAAAGGGTACGTTTCACATTCATTCTCCTAAGTATCCTCGAAAGAAGATTGGACCATATGTAAATTGATGCGATGCTATTCTCCTGGTGTTAATTAAGTCGAAGGTTTGTTTTTAATCATTAAGGTCGACAAAGCGATTAACGCATTTGACTGGTGCAATATTTGCATAGGAAAATCGAAGGCATAAGGATGACCAATGATTGTCATAAAATAGCTGCCAGGACTTCTGAAAGGGCCTTAAGCAACATCAGTGTTGACTTACGCAATGTGTGGTTTGCGTGTTGCGAATTTTATTTTTGTGGAAGCCTTCCATTTAATCCGAACATTCTTTGGCCTTAAAAGATACGAATATTATTGCATAAGGCCGTGTCGTTTACAAGCAACCGGATTTATTTACCAGTTTCTCGTTCAGAACTTATTAAGGTATCTTATGTTGCATTCTATATTATAATATAATAAAATGTAATTTGTTTATCTTCTTTTAACTTAAAGGTGACATTGGGTTGGAATTATGGCCAGAATTTTGTGGACCTGTCAGACTACTGGAAAAGTGGAACTTGGGACTTGGTGGACGTTCCCGGTCGAATCGTTAACACATCCACGAGCGGCCATAACGCCACCTACATTATCTACACAATCAAACTGCGTCGGAAAACACTCTTCTACACAGTCAACCTTATTTTGCCCTGCATTATGATCTCCCTCCTGAGCATTTGTGTCTTTTACCTGCCCTCCGATGCTGGCGAAAAGGTTACCCTATCAATCAGCATTGTGGTTGCCTTGATTGTCTTCCTCATCCTGGTCAGCAAAATCCTTCCGCCAACCTCTACCTCCATACCGCTTATTTCGCGCTATCTCCTGTTCACTTTCCTGTTTGACGTCTTCGCCGTTTTCATTTCCGTGGTCATCGTCAACTGGAATTATCGAACTCCTCGAACACATACTATGCCAGCATGGGCCCGTATTGTCTTCTTACGCATTCTGCCAAAACTGTTGCTCATGAAACCACTGCAGCCGCTGCATGCGACCTTTAAGGACTTCAACCATCAGAATAGCATTCACAAAAACCCATCGTTTGGCCGAGGTTGCAAGGGCAGTGCTTCGCAGCAGTATCCTTGCCTGGACACAGCAGTCAATCTTAAAGCTCCGCTCAGGTCTGGATCTAGCTCCGTTGCAGAAACTACCAGCATTCGGGACAATGAGGATGCATTTGAACAGTCCTTTCGGGAGCCTGGTATGGTCCCGTTTTTCTTCTCCAGTTCCGAAAGCGATACAATGATCAGTAATCCCGGTGCAAGTGATATTGTCATTAGTAGTGAAAATAGCAGCTACACCAGCAGCAGTGACAGTGGGGGCTTTGAAGTAACCTCTAAGAGCCCATCCAAGCCGCCCTTACCAAACCTGCCTCATATTCGCTCAAGGCTGATATTGAAGCCCTCCCGTTCAGGAGATAGCAGTTTTTGCATTATGGACAAATCTGCAAAGTCGTCGGCACACACCATCGAATTCGACTTGCTGCCCTCACCTTCCTCGAACTCGCAGGTGTCACATTCCTATGAGAACATAAAGTTATCCTGCATGACGGCATCTGAGTATGACTCGACTGAAACGGAGGGGGAGCCGGGGAACGGGAACGAGGATGAGTATGCATGTGCTGTGAGTATGGACCTTAAAAGTGACGAATGCTGTAGCAACAGTAATGCACTGTCAGCGGCCTCAGATTCCGGCAGCAGTAGTGCATCTAGTGGTGGCGACCTCTTAGATACATATGCCAGGACTCGGAAGGAGCCCAGGATATTCGGATATGACAACAAGTATGCGAGAAGTCACATAGGGGTTAAAACAAAAACTACCCCTGTAATGTCACTTCCGAGTTCAAGCAGTACCGCGGTAACCGAGGCTAAAAACAAACCTCGAAACACTATAGTTTTATCCCATTTTCAAACAAACGCCTGTGGAACTAAAAGAGAGCATATTGAAATTGTTCCATTGGATGAGTCACCGCGAAGGATTGGACAAAGGCGACCAAAAGAGAGTCAAACTTCGTGCTCCAAAAGCAGTCGCGAGCTGTCAAAATCTTCGAAACTGCCGGTAAACGGATCTAATCCAAGCAGTTATCCCTGGAATGGACAGCCGCGGCCTAGGGAAGAGGACTCATCCTTCTCGCATTCTGTAAGGAAACTGCGGTCGACTACCGTTAAGCATTCCGACGCACGAGTAAATCCTAATTTTACTGAAGCTACCAACACTTCGCGGGAGGGCAGCTTACGGGGTATGCATTCTCGAGCCGTATATACTGACGACACACCGACGAAAATAGAGATGAGTAATCTGCAAATAGGACTGTCTGCCATCAACTATATATCAAAAACACTGGATGCGGACTCTGAATATCGCACAGTACGTTTTAAAAAAATATTTTTATCTTGTAGGCAAACAACAGGCGTGTTGTATTTTTACAAAAGTGATCATTAATGAATAGGTATTCTACTCTCTGCTATAGTAGAATGGAAGACCTATGTAGCAATCTAGCATCTGTGAAGGTTTAAAGGGGAGGTTTATTAGCTGAAGAAGATTATGAAGCTTGCATACTGTCTTTCAATTTCACGACCTCTGTCAATGTAAAAGGGCTTCAGGAAAAGAATTTACTTTTATAAATAGATGATATAAAATGGGCAAAATCAAATTCAATTCAGGTTTGATCAAATTTAGTCCTAGTTTTATCCAGTGCAGATGGCAGGAAGAACCGCAGATCCGAGTAATTCTAATTTGAGAGCAAACTACGGTAACAACGAAATTCATATAAGCTTCGTTTTTACTTACACTTAGTTACTTGTCAACTACTTGGCTACGCTGCACGGTGTAATAGGAGTCAATTTTATGTTACATCGAGTTTACTAACAAGCGTACAAACGTGTGAACTTCCGGCCTGTGACGAACTGACATCCAGAAGCCGCAAACTGACAGTACGGTCTGCCTTAGCTTTGCCTAACTAAGTGCTGTTCGAGCGGTGGACCGTAACACTAAGGAAGAACGAAAGGGTGTATTGTGTCACGCTTTCGCTCCAACTCAGCGAACTATCCCGTTCAAGATACTTCTCATATTTCTAAAGACAAATTAATTGGCATAAGCTTGCTTTCCCTTCAGGCCGGTACGTTTATATCGTAATTAACTAAAAAAACTATGCGGATTGGTAGACAAATAGTGCAGTTGGCCGGATCGACGGGTGGGGGGGGAGTTGGGGTAAACAATCGATCAGCGTCCGGGGGACTGGCAGCTGAGAAAGGTGATAAGTTGCGGGCAGTTGCATTAGCGACTTTCAGTCACGGTAACTGCGGCGCCGTTACGACGTTCTTTTGAGCGCATAGGACCGGTTTGCATAGCCTGCTGGCACCCGCTTTTGCCGTAGCCAACACACTCTGTCCAGGAAATTTTTAATAGCTTGAGGGCACCTTGTAGATCACTCGGGAATCCGCTCTCGCGATGACCTGAGTCTACCAAATGCGCCAGAATGAAATCGTTAATGGTCTTTATTTGGCCCTTCCCTAACCATGTTGGAAAATGTTCTGGCACTCTTTTAGACAAACGCCGGCTCCCGCGATCAAAATATTCTGCCACACAGGCGCAGGTCAATGAATAGATGCAGATGGAATTGATCTGGGCTGGCAGTTTGTGCTTGATCCCTCCGTACAGGATGGGATTAGTCGAAAAAAGTACATGGGCGTCGGCTGCTGGAAAGGTGTTCGATGCAGCTTGACTTAAGCGCTTTCCTGGAAGATTTCTTGGCGCGTCCCCTTGACATGGGACCCCGCTGAGAATTCCTTTCTCCTCTGCTGTTACCACCGAGGATTTGGTGGTCTTCAAACCATGTCCTTAGCAATAAATCGACTAGGATGGCACTTTGTCAATCAACGCTTTGTACACTTCTAAGCTCTTCTTCGTCCTTTGCGTCGAATACCATACTCAAATCCGATAGTACTTAACTTCCAAATGGGTATATGACCGAGACTACGTCTTCTTAAGATCGACTCTTCGGTGAATACTCCCATCAGACCTTTTCACTCAAAAGTACGTAATATTTTACGCTGATCAAATTGTTGACCACTACTTTGCCCCCCCCCCTCACCTGACAATTGTCCTATTTTTCTGCTAACCTAGATAGTTTATTTAGTTAATTACGATATAAATGTACAAGCCTGAGAAGAATTTAGCGAAAACTAACATATCTCCACCTGTTTATCGTTTGAGGTTTTCAGTGGAGATTTTCGCGCTTCTTTCTATTCCAAAACATTTGCATAGCAATAAGTCACGTTCCATTCAAAAGAAGGAACGGTGTTCAAACGATAAATTGGTGAGCATACATTTGCGTTCGATAAATCCTCTTCAAGCTTTTACATTTATATCGTTATATAAGTACTTAAAATATATGGGTAGGTAGAATAAATCTTGCGGTTGTCAGGGCCGGGGGACAAATTGGTGTCAGTGTCAGGGGAATACTGGCCGCCGGTAAAGACAATTAGGAGCCGGTGGTTAACTTGGCCAGTTTCGGCCACCTGAAAATGTTTTCTTTAGGTCTCACTTTAAAAGCGATGATTTTGGCCATCCAGAAAGTAGTAGAATACCTTGCTTAACAGGCGGAACTTTTGTTCGGCGGTGCAACGTTTCCTATCGGATCTTTGTGCTGTAGGTTTATGGGCAACTTCTTCGGGGAGTGTCTCCTTGGTTTCACATATGGATTTTATTATTCTTTTATTATTCGAGGTCTGTAGACTGAGCTCTAAGGCAAAACTGAGCAACCATGCCCCGTACCCGAATCAGTGAACCCACTCTCTCACGATTGTACTCTCAGACAAACACTAGGGAGGCTGAAGTAATCATTACCGTCTACGTGACTGACGTGAGAATGCCCTTCATCGCACTTCCAGAAGCATTATGGACTATGCTTAAAACGCTTCTATAGTAAATGATGTGAAAGACACAACATCGGACGAAATGGAAATTAATAGCTAGTTGATGTTGAAGTAAGCCGCTTAGGTTGTCAGCAAATCGGACAAATGAAACTACTTCGAAACACTATTTTGAGTTCTGGGAGCCTTACTGATTTCAGTAGGTTTAACTTCTGAACTAACGTATATGGCTCTCTTATCATTTTTTGAACAACTCGTTTGCTGTAGGTAACCCAATACCGAAGCATATGGTAAATCACAAAATGACAGAACCAATTTATACGATAGGACTTCCACCTGTTCCAAATATATAGGACCTAGGCGGGGGGGAGGGGTCGTTTCATTCCCTCCACTCCAGTGATAATGTCTTTTTCAATCATGCTCGACTGTTCTCCTTGACTCTTGTTTTTAGACAGTGCAAGAGTGGAAGTACATTGCCTCCGTGATGGATCGCCTGATGCTGGTAACCTTCACCGTGATCACTCTGGTAGTGAGTGTCATTCTCCTAACCAGCGCGCCTTCTCTGCTCTCAAGCGTCGATCAGGACGCCATCATAAGAAAGTACTCAGTCATCAAAAATGCCTGAGCCTGAACCGCCAGTAGACAAAAATTCTTCAGAACACAGCTCAGATCCGAGCAATGACTATGCACTACTCCAATCGGCTTCGAGACCTCTGAACACACTCACCCACCCTCCCCCCCCTTATGGGGCATTACCGGACATACATGTTCATAGCTCCGCTCCCAATCTTTTCTCCTGACGTCTGCCAGTTTTCTGGCCTGTTTTATAGGTCTCTCTGCTTTCTTCAACAACACCACTTTAAGAGTTCTTCCAGGGAATTACTATGTCTCCTGACTGCCCAACGTCTTCCTCTTATTGTATTGGAGTCGCTGCGAAATATCAAAACTGTTTTTTGTCTTTTCATGTTTCAATAGTTTTACGGTTGCCATTCTAAGACACTGTTCGTGGGCTACATTGGTTGAGCGGCAGATTTAAAAAAAACGGTCGAACAGTGGCTTATGTAAACGTAGGTTAGTTTCTTAGGAAGGGAAATTTAGCTGAGGGGATCTTTTTCTGACCACACCGAATGGCATACGCCAATCCAGGTGGTTAGAAACGTGTTTTCTGCAAGTTAGTAATCACAACGTTTACGCACCTGGTGAACCCAAATCAATAGCCACACATCATCATTTTTAACTGGGAACAGAAGATAAATTGGTGAACATACGTTTGTTTTTGATAAATTCTCGTCATACCCTTACATTTATATGCTAATTAACTAAATAAACTATGTGGGTTGATAGAAAAAATAGTGCGCTTCTCAGGGGAGCTGGGGGCGCGGAATCGGGGTCAAAAGTCTGATGAGTGTTAGTGGGAGACTGGTAGCCGAGAGAGGTGATAAGCTACGGGCTGTTGAATTAAAAACTTTCGGCGCTGCGATAAGTTCTTTTGGGCGCACAGGACCGGCCGGCGTAGTCTGACTAGAACACTTCTATGTGCATCTATTTATTTACCTGCTTCTCTGGGGCATGATATATTGGTCGCACGAGCCGGCGTTTGTCCAAAAGAGTACAAGAACACATTCCAGTATGGTTAGGGAATAGCCAAGTGAAGGGTATAAACAGTTCCATTATAGCGCACCTGGTAGGCTCAGACTGTCCCGTGGGTGCTAGAGAGGCCTTCCGAGTGATCCACAAGGTACCCTCAATTCATTCAAAATTCCTTATGTTTCTGAAATTTTCAGTGGGAGTTGTCGCATATCTAGAACTAGGAACAATATTTAATATGGACGCACGCAAATCCCCCGACATTTTCAAATCTGCAGTCCTCAAATGCGTATTAGGTTTTATGAACAGTCAACCACCTTCTAGGTTGCATTTTCTCAAATATGAGAGATAGTTTATGAACTTGACCGATTGCAGCCCCGAAAGTGACGCCATGTGCGTGGTCTCTGTCAGGCACTCGAGAATATTTTTTTATTTTGGAAGTCAGTGGATTGTTTCGCATCCAATACTGCATGAAGGACTGTCGAATCCGCAACTAAAGGTGGGTGTAAGGTGACGAGGCTCATATGAGCTCCGGTTTGAGGAAGTACTTATGACCCATTGGATGGACCCCGTGCATGAGTGCGTGTGTTTGTGCTCCAGGTTACAGATTAGTATTAGGGTAGACACTGTCAAACTGAAGAAGAAGTAAAGGCGAGAAAGGTCTGCGAAAATACGCGCATCCCCCTCAATACCACCTTGTCAGGATTTAGCGTTCTCAAACATACTTGAGGTTTATGTTATGGTAGTATTCCGGCAAAGGTAGGCAACCCTAGGATAGCTATTTTTGGCCTTTTGGTCGTCGTCAGCTAGGGGTATCCAACTCTGATGTAGCCGCTGAAATTGCTGCCACACTCGAGTTTCGAACTCGCGTCTCGCCGGTCAGATGCAAACGTCCTAACCATTGGGCCACGAGTCCGCTGTCTCTCCGGTTGTTGATCGGGAGTAAAAAGTAGTTGATTGTACATCGATCTGTCTTTCAGGATTCACCCGCCCTGTTTGATGCTTTGCGAGTTCAGATCAACCAATTGTGCTTTCGCAAGGCTACTTATTGTAATTTTACTAATTAAGTTTCATACTAGGGGTTTTCTGCCGTCTTTTCTCAATGACATGCAAACGTATTGGAGGATGACTATAAAGTCTGGATAAGCGAATATAATAACGCTCTCTTTTTTACAACTCGATGGCCGACTTAATAAAGGAGGCTTATCCATCATTTAGCAGTGTCGATGTGATACTCACGCATTTTGTCAATAGCGTTCCCAATCTGTGGAATGATATTTTCATTTCTGAACTTTGTGACTATCGTGGGAAAGGGGAAGCCGATTAAATAGCACAGAAGTTTTCGGTTATTTACTATGTGTTTCCCTTATTCGAAATGTCAGCGAGCGTACTACAAGCTCAAATGCCCAAAGTTTATGCTTACTCTAGAGTTGGATTCTTTTATTCATCCTCACAGTGTCTGGATATCACAACTATGTACAAGCTAAAGCATAAAGTATGAATAATTAATATCTAAGTCACCATTGTTAATAACCAGACCAGTAACCAAGGTTACATTCTGAAAAGACCTGCAGCAGCGCTTACTACATGAAATAGAATATAAAATGTATAGCACACTGTTAGAATTTGATAGAAGGCAGGTACATAACGAAAACCACTCTAGCAAAACGGAAAAAGCTACTTTGCACCGCCCAGCAACTTTGATGAATTTGCTTCAGTAAGCTCTTTTGGGCTTAGAAAAAAAAACCTTTTCCGTTGTCCACACCCCGGTTCGCCTGACGCGCGGTCGTTCAATCAGTCGATTTAATCACTGAGGTGGCAGGAGATAAGATGTTTGCTTAAGCCGCTGATAATCTGTTCGAGAGCGAACGCCGACGAGGAGGAAGAGCGGGTAGGGAGAAAAAGTTAATGCAATCTACTGTCGGACCCAAAAGCTTTGCATTAATTTCTTCCTCTAGACCGCTATAAAGTCCACTTTTATCCTCAGCATTGTCAGTGGCTGTTTTCCTCAGTTGAAAGCTTCCGTTTCTTTGTCCACAATTTTCACATACACTGATTCATATTAATTAAGTTAGGAGGAATTTGATGCATTCATTAGTTTGAGAGATCCCTTGCTGGTTGAACCCGCAGCTGCGTGGATTCGCTGCCCACTATCTTAGGAAACTGCTGAATGTCACACTGTTTTAACAGTGTAACCTATGGGTACTTTTGCTGACATGGCATGCGAAGCAGAATATGGAAATGTTAATCGTATGACTTTCACTCTTGCTGCGTACCGGAAGATAATTTATTTTAGTAGGGAATTTGGGCTGTCTTGAATAATTCATTTGACCCACTTATGAAGAAACTAGCGTCCTCTATAGGACTTGAACCCATGCCAGAAAGGGAAGGCTTCAGTACAGCCAACGGTCTAGTCAACCGAGTTACGAGGTCCACTTTGGGAGCCGTGAGTTAAATCACACCTGGATCAAGTTATCCGCCTAGCCTACTGCAATGTGCAGGATCCACCAATTCTGATAGACTAAGCTGTCTGCTCAAGCTGTATTTCCTAGGAAATCAATCTAGAATCCACCAGATAACTACCAGACACAGTTAATTTGTAGTTTCGGAACTGTGCATGGAGGAGTATTTGGTAAGTTGGATTCTGAACTCCATTAGGGCTGCACGAAGAGCCTGGACAACACGCGTCAGTTTGCGTTCGTAACACGATTCAGACTGGAAAAAAAAGTGGAGCAATAAATAATTCACAGCCTGCAAGCAACTTCTGGAAACAGGAGAAGGTTCAGTCTGACTGTCACGCAACAGTCTGCTGCATTTAGGGAATACGGCTTACTTTCGCACTGTTTTGGACGCGTCTAAAATCCCAGTCCTTTCTTTACAATTAGGTCCTCGGATATTAATACATATAAAAGAACGAAATTCTGCAATCCTCGAGTAAAAGGAATGCCAAAAGCAGCTTATGTAAGCCCACTAAGTCCCACCCCTAGTCCCAGCATTTTGTCCTGCAAAAACGGTGGTTATAGACTTTTGGGGGATGGGGATATAGGATAGGCAAAGAAGGAAATTTTTAGAAAAAAATGTAGTCGAAGATGCTTCCCGCGGCCGCTGGGAGTAAGTTGTTCCGCATGTTAATGGAAGGTGTGCTCAGCACTTCGCGCCAACGGTAAGTTGGATTTCAGGTTAATTGATGTAGACGACCTCCTAACCATCATTTCAATTTTTCGGGAAATTCAAGAAACCTGCAATTGGATAATCGGGTTTTACCCCAATAAA